TCATGAATTGAACACGACCGAGGTATGAACTATCTGAAGTTGTGAATACCTTTCCAAACTAGGGACAGGTTGACGGCCTTGAACTGTAATACTGTATTGCTAACATAACATGTCCGTTCACAAACTCCAAAACGGATAAAACATATGATCCAAAACCAACGCAGGTTTCCCCTTATGCTAACAAATTACAGTTAGTAACACCAGAAGTAGATTTTCTGAGTGTACAATGCGATTATTCCATGAATTATTTATAGGTTAAAGGCTGATCGAAATGTCACGCCAGCTACAAAAATAACGTAAAAAAAGAACCAACCTAACCTAAAACAATCAAACATAACAAAACATACCTAACAAAAAATAACCTAACCTCAACAAACAAAACCCAACAAAACTCTATGAACTAGGCCTCCATTCGGAAAACCCTTTGACTGATATTGTCGTGACGATGTCATGACACTGACCTTTCCGATACCTCAAACTGACATAAGTATTGTTACTCAATCTCTTACAGATCGGCTGAAATACGAGTTTGAAAAAAAGACTTTCGAATGACCTTGAAAATTTTAAAGGCCTCTATTCGGAAAACCCTTGGATTGATATTGTCGTGACGATGTCATGACACTGACCTTTCCGAGACCTCAAACTGACATGAGTATTGTTACTCAGGCTCCTACAGATCGGTTGTAATATGAGTTTGAAAAAATGACTTTTGAATGACCTTGGAAATATTAAAGGCCTCTATTGGGAAAACCTTTGGACTGATATTGTCGTGACGATGTCATGACACTGACCTTTCCGAGACCTCAAACTGATATGAGTATTGTTACTCCGGCTCTTACAGATCGGCTGAAATATGAGTTTGAAAAAATGACTTTTGAATGACCTTGGAAATATTAAAGGCCTCTATTGGGAAAACCTTTGGACTGATATTGTCGTGACGATGTCATGACACTGACCTTTCCGAGACCTCAAACTGATATGAGTATTGTTACTCCGGCTCTTACAGATCGGCTGAAATATGAGTTTGAAAAAATGACTTTCGAATGACCTTGAAAATTTTAAAGGCCTCTATTCTGAAAACCCTTGGACTGATATTGTCGTGACGATTACATGACACTGACCTTTCCGAGACCTCAAACTGACATGAGTATTGTTACTCAGGCTCCTACAGATCGGTTGTAATATGAGTTTGAAAAAATGACTTTTGAATGACCTTGGAAATATTAAAGGCCTCTATTGGGAAAACCCTTGGACTGATATTGTCGTGACGATGTCATGCCACTGACCTTTCCGAGACCTCAAACTGACATGAGTATTGTTACTCAGGCTATTACAGATCGGCTGAAATATGAGTTTGAAGAAATGACTTTCGAATAACCTTGAAAATTTGAAAGGCCTCTATTCTGAAAACCCTTGGACTGATATTGTCGTGACGATGTCATGCCACTGACCTTTCCGAGACCTCAAACTGATATGAGTATTGTTACTCAGGCTCTTACAGATTGGCTGAAATATGAGTTTGAATAAATGACTTTCGAATGACCTTGAAAATTTTAAACGCCTCTATTCGGATGACCCTTGGACTGTTATTGTCTTGACGATGGCATGACGCTGACCTTTCCGACACCTCAAACTGACATGAAGTTTGTCTCTGAGGCTCTTATAGTTCGGCAGATATATCCTTTTCAAAATATGACCTTTGAATGACCTTGAAAATTTTCAAGCCCTTGATTTGGAAAACCCCGGGACTTATAATCTTGTGACTGTGACATTATATGGACCTGACTGCGAACTCTAACATACGTGGATAAGATCAGTAAATTCCCTAAGGTTCGGCGGAAATATGTCTTAGAATAATTCGTCTTTAAATGACATTGAAATTTTCAAATGATCATTCAACAAAATAAAGGGTTGACATCGTCGTGATCGTGAAATGACTTTTTTAGTTACGTGACCTTACCGTATCAATAAAATAATAACAAAATCTAAAACAAAGCAAACGTAAACAGAACGTAAAACTTTAGAGAATTGAAATCCAAAGTTATCAAACAAAGGATTGGACTAAAATCACACACAAGAAAAGCCCAGAAAATAGGGTAAATAAGACAAGCGATAAAGAAGGACAGGCATGAGGAAGGAATAGGGATTGATTTTTGTCAGCACGTGCTTAAGATGAGCATGATTGCTGGTTTGCGTGATTTCTCTTACACCTCCATTTATTGCAGCCTATGGCAAGGTGCTTATAACAGGATAAGGAAGACTAGACAAAGTCCTGTCCGGGTCCTCTCACTATGTTATATTACTCCCATGATGGCATAAGGCTACCCTCGACGTCCGCAAAGGAGGGGCCATTCACTTGGTCGTCTACAGATCAGAGCCCCTCCCTCATTCTGCCTTGTTCCCACAGTGGCCAGCTTCCGTTCTGGTTTGTCTTCTCTTTTTATCATAATCTTAACCAAAGTTGTTCGGGTGCTGCACGAAATGCTCCTCAGGGTCAAGCCAACAACCGCGAACCTACGCGGTGATATGACAATGTTCCTCTGGCTTCTCCAGTAATTAAAACCCGATCTTCGTCATCAGGTTATCTACCGAGAATGTTTTCCTAAAAATAGTTTTGTGACAAATCTCGATTCAGAGTCCGACAATTTGGCTAAATTTTATTTTCTGTTCCAAAAATACCTTATGATATTAAGATACGTGGAAAATAAAGAGCATACACTGATCAACACATAGACATTCAGAGCTCAATATAGCACAAAAATTGCAGTTGAAATTTCCATTCTGGTATCATGAAGAAGCTGAATCTACTCTTATTATCAAAAATACTGACCAAAAATTTGACTTATATGGAGCTGTTACTCGTGGGACAATTTAAAAATTCAAACAAATTTACCAAAATATTAGTTTCGTAAACAGCCTGTGTGTGTTTTCAAAAGGTCTGTTCTGATTTCTTACATCGATAACTATTCTGTCGCGGTAAATCTGCCATTTCTCCTAACTGCTATGAAGAAGTTAAATTTAGTACAGGTTAATTTGACTTCAACCTACTGCCATATTATGACAGACTAAATTTTTGGCTGCGTTCTAGAAAAATTCTCCTCGTGTTAAAAACTATAATTTATTACGCCTGAAATAAATTTTGCAGGCGGCTGGACTCGAAATAGAACGACTAACCACTTATGATGCATTCTGTCATGTCTAGTAACAAATCTGTCAGTATAATAGCAAATAATGGTCTGAAGATAAGCGTAAAGCCATCTACCAAAATGGGCAGGCATATAGAAAATATACTTCAGACAATAGACAATGTCCAAAATACCACGCGTAATGCTTGCCCATTTTAAGGTTTCCAAAATTCGACCAACCAATACACATTCAACCTGAAGATATCAACTGCAGTGTTTGCCGAAACGTTGTGTAATACTCAATATTGGTCGTGGCTCACTCCTAAAAGCCAAAGTAACAATTTCTTATTTTTATTCAAGTACTGACAGAAACCTTGAGAATGATTTTCATTATGCCCATACATTAGAGAATACATTTCTACTAAGTTCGTATGATACAATTACATTAGCGGATATGAAAAGATGAGAACATGCATTACGAAAAACTACAGGCAGATATCTGGTCGATCGCACGCACATACATTTATGTATGCTTTTACTTTAAATAATGACTGTTCCCGCATTATTTTGTAAAACCTGTATCAGACGACAGTTGGACTAAAAACTAAAACGATATGAACATATCAGAAATTGCGCTATCAGACAAGAATTAAGTACAAGCTCGGCTGATGTAGTAATGCTTCTATCATCTGAACAGACTGAGAGAAAAAATTAGCCAGAAGATTTTATCTACATAAACCACAATATGGAAGAGGGAGATCTTGTAAGGTGCAAAGACAAATTTTGAACGCAGACAATGAAGTCCGAACAGTCCGCCTAAGCGTTAAGACAAATTCAGGTTCTGAAATGGCTGTATTCTGGGTTGCAGCGGTGTAGTATGCTGTAAGTTTACCGACGTTTCAGAGATCCTTGCTGATCATGGAGGCAGAAAGAGCCTCTGTAACGTCGATAAACCTCTACCAGACCAAACTGCGCTACAACTCAGAAGACGGCCATCTTCGTACACAGTATCGTAAGATCCTCGAATCCCACTCACAAGCTAATCATGACGATGAAGATGATAATGATAATGTATAGAACTAAGAGAACAGACTATAATGGAATACTTCTATAATAGCTCTGAGTTTACTTGCTCAGTTGTGTGCTTGAAAGTACATTTTATTGGAACGACAAATATACTGAGGCAGAGGACGCTTGTTTGCCACCGGACTCATTACTGAGTTGAATTCAATAACTAACTAACTAGATGGCTTACCGAACCGGAAGGTTTATCATCGAATTAACCAAAGCCCTCCACCGGACCTTGTCCTGGGCCAACAAAATCCAGTCTCCTTCAACTCCTATCTCCCATATATCCAGCCTGAGATTATCCTCCCATCTACGTCTAGGTCTCCCCAGCGGTCTCTTCCCCTCAGGCTTACCAACCAGTACCTGGTGCACACCTCTTGTCCCATCCATGCGCGCTACATGCCCTACCCATCTAATTCTTCTCGACTTAATCACCCTGATAATACTGGGGGAGGAGTACAAATTTGAAGCCTTAAATTTTGTACTGCGGTTAATTTAGGCTAAACCAAAAAGCAGACAAGTCGGCCAGTGACAATTATGCCATATCATTTAACCAAATGATTAGTAGTAGACGAAGTTGTCATTTATGATGTAATTTGTTGTTAGGATTACACAAGTTCGTATGGAAACAATCTTGCAACATCGCAATCTTACAGTTCTGCCTCTATCTGCACGACTAATAATGATCTCAGAAGCCAGCTTCTTTGTTTCCAGATTCGGAACAGACAATCGGTGAAACGCGATAGGTAAAACAGAAGAATGATTTAAAATATGTTAATGACATTCGCTGAAGAAATAAGTACTTACTTTAGGTTGGAGATTGCCGGTTTGGAATAAACTACTTCTGCAGTGTGTTTTACGGAGACGGACGTTGAAGTGTAGTGGCACCGTAGTAAATTCCAAGCCTGAGGGAAAGAATAAGAATTGTTATTTCAAAGTAGTACTCAACTTTTCAAATCCTACAGAGTTATTTTTGTTCTAACTGCTTGTCTCCTAGCTCGATAAATAAACTCGGAGAGCATGAAACGCGCTGAACAGTGGAGTCTGCGTGTTTTTTGTTTCTTGGGAGTACGCAGACAGCCTCTAGTGACGGGTCGCCAAATTAAGTGCCAGTCTTCGCGACGCGGTGTCAGCTCAAGGGGACGGAGAGAAAGATTGGGCCGAAACGCCGGGGGTTGGAATTGCACCAGAGGAGATGGGCGGGACACACAATCAACTCTTTTCGTAACTTCAAGTCTATCCTAACTGACACCTGACCCCAGAACCAGGGCGGTGCAAGACTTCAAAGCTACAGTAAGTTTCAAATAAAAAAACAACAGTCACTTTTTCTGCCGTCAGATATTACGTAAATGCATTACACTGCACACACGGATACTGCTAAATAATTAAATGTTAGTTTATCAAATCTAAAACTTCTTGACGATGGTGAAGAGTCAATTGAATAAAAAATTTCTTGGATATTATCCATCGTCTACGATGGATAATATCCAAGAAATTTTTTATTCAATTAAATGTTAGTTAGAAAGAATTATCTAAGTAAGTCACATTACGAAATTGAGACTTTTAGGGTCACAATTTAAGCGGGGAATCTGACAGGCTTCATCACTATCAGACTTTCAAGGTCTCTGCCACAAGAATATATATAGATATACGATTACTGTGGTCTAGTACATAACGAAGAACTTCATGATTTGCAAGATGGCAGACTATAATTAGTGTAATGAAACCCATAGCAGCCTTCAAAAGTGCCATGCTTCAAGGTCACTAAAATATTCATCCATCTCTTACCGCGCGGCTCCAAGTCACCATACAGCGTTTCTACCCTTGCTACGGTGCGAGTTCTAAGCCGTCTTCATTCGACCGGGCCCCTTTGTTTGTATTGCAACGCCGTAAAATTTTGCTGTGACCTTGATTCACGCAATTTTGTGACTGCTAATTGTGAAGACTTGGCGTATCTTGTGAGAGTAATCGTGCACAAATAAATATGGAGCAGAAAACTCTTTGAAAGGCATCACTTGGTGGTCATGTGATGCTCTCATTAAAATTAATCTTATGCAGATGTGTAGGGAGGATGGGAATATCGCCTTGATGATGGCGGCAGTAAGAACATCTGAAACATCTCTTGATTTCTACCAGATAACATGGGACAACATCCCAGACACAGTCATCTAAACTTTCATTGCGTAAAACTTACCAAATCTGATATGCATTTATTAAAACTCCTTATTTAATAACCCACTTCATATTTTCTAAATAACAGTACGGAAATAATATTTGGGGGTGTGGTTTGGATTAAGTTGGCTTAGGAAAGAACTAGTCGCGGGCTGTTTAAAAACGGTAATGAGCCTTCGGGTTCCATAAAAAGTTGGGATTGTTTACACTGTCTGAGCGTGCTATTAGCTTCTCAAGAAGGACTCTCCTCCATAGAGTTAGTTAAGAGCGGACTTCTGAATTTATGTGCAACAATTTTGGTCAGGCGTCCTCAGGATACTCTTTATAGCACTGTACAGAACAAAGACTCATATTGGAGAGAAGTGAAAACAACACTTAATAACTAATATCGCTTCTCTGCCCAGGCTGACACTGTGATGTGACGTGGACAGTTATTGTTAGGGCGGGAAACTGAAGGGTTACAACTAAGCTACAGGGGATCAAGACGCAGAAATGGGTTACAACTTCTTAATACCTTCTTATTTCCTCTCCTTTCCTTTGTACGTTTCCCTGATCTGTAAGCTCTGTATTATTCTTTCACCTCTTTATTACACTTCTCACTTCTTCTTATTTCATTTTCGATTAACTTGAAAAGGTATTAAACATCCTTGACCAATATATCGTACACTGATAAATATATCATTATTATCAGTTTCAGGACGAAAGCATATAATAACAAAAATATATTTTCTTTTATTTGAAATTCATTCTGTTTCATGTATAAATAAACAATATGGCGAGTGCAAAATTATAATAAAATATAGACACAAAATGTAATGGGAATGTCGTCTTCTCTCGTGTGTTAAACAGCGTGACAGTCAGTATTCTTGTGTATTAAATTAATATTATCAAAACATTAAAAATATTATCAAGAATTATAAGCCTTTTATCATCTTCAAGCCTTAATAACAAAGAAGCAAAATTCCACAATAAATGACACTACGCTGTAACTTTATTATTATACACTCGGCAACGCTTTTACTAACTATAGGCGAGTATAAATGATTTTAGACTTAGTCTTGTTCTTGCCTTCAAGTGACTAGTTTTCATAATAACCTTTCGGCCTGCGATCTTTTGAGGCTGATAAGTAATCGCGCTGATGATGTAGGCAGCAAGGACTTCTGAAGCGTTTGTCAACGTCTACCAGACAGCCATCTTCAGATTCATCGCCGTGAAAACTTCAAATCACATTATCATAAGTCTTAATCTATCACAGAAAGGGAAACAATTCATAAGATATAAAAATATGTTGAAAACAAACAAAATTTATATAAAACAATATACGAGCTATTGGCAACGATTAGTTAAAAATTAATTAAAAATCCGATATCATGTATTAGTTTCGATTAATCGAATAACAGGATTAGGTAAATAGTAATTTAAATATTTACTAATTTAGAACACAGCGCCTACCTAACATAATTTCGCAAAGGAATTTCCTCGTTGGAGATTACAAATTGTGCTGTCTGTCTGGTAAGAAAGCTCCGTTGATTGTGTTGGTACTGTAAGCCACAACAATTGTGAACTGCGTGCATCAGTGATTTGAAATAATTCGCCTTCAGTTGTTGTTGATACGTCAGTTGTAACAGAAACAAGCCAGGGAACATGTGGAACATCCTCTTTCTACAATGCAGAATATTGAGGACAGGATATGAAAGTCCCTGCTACTAACTCTCTTGTCATCGGCGATGTGCGTCTTCTCCTCTGTGCTACTAGCTTCATGCAACAAAGGCAGATGACACAAACAACACAATTTTATAAAAATCATAACCGTCAATGAACTGCAATAATAGATAATTTCAAGGACTGCAAAATAATGTGTTATATATGTACATTATTATTATTATTATTACGGTTAAAATAACATTATTTTTATTACAATCATAATTACGTTTGCACTATATGTTTCGACCTCAAGAGGCCATCATCAGGAGTACGACGCCCCGAAGACAAAACATGTACTACCGAAAGTGTGATTATAATAATAACACGAAGGATGTGTTCACAAAAATATAAATATACATGCATATAGCTGTAACACTAAATGTTCAAAATATTATTAGTTTCGCTACGATATCATCCTCAATTTTTTAACATTAATCCTAGTCTTCATACTCCTTACAGAAAAGCTAGGATGATTTTAGTATGTTAAATACTGAAGTATAAGATAATTACAAATACGTTTATAATTAATTGGGCTTAGTAGCGTGTTCAAACTAAGGCGATGAGATGGGCGAGACGTGCAGCACGCACCGGGAAGACAAAATTGTAACCAGAAAACGTAAAGAAATGTGATCCACTGGGAGAACCAGACGCTTATGAAGGTATAATATTAAAATGTATCTCAAAGTAATCGGTTGTCAAGGTGGTAGGAGGGAGTTAAATGACTCTGGACAATGTCGCGGATAATCTTCCTAAACAGCATTAACCAACTGGTCTTTGTAACGGAGATGTTTTACGTATTCTTCGCGGTACTGACTGAATGAAGTATCACTTAGATGTGCTTCGACTTCTCTCCTTGTTCCACTTTTCATCACTTTACCTTCTCCGCTTCCAACCTTCTCTTTACCCTAACTTTACCAGAAGGACGAGCGGGCATTGCCTTGGAACCTTCACATCCGTAAACTTATCTATTTTCCTGCCCCTTCTCCCGTTAAATGTAATGGTTTTACTACTCCCCACCTTCTATTCTCTCTCAATTACTCGTTTTTAAAATCTAAACGGTATTTCAGCTCTTTTATTTGACGTGACCCAAAAGTTGTTTCCTGAGGATGGGAATCCAACTGCATGTAAATATACACAAATCTATAAAATCTTCTCGGGCAATCAGCCGCGTTAGCTGGTTACCGTAGATTTACTACGGTAACCAGCTAACGCGGCTGATTGCCCTAGAAGATTATTTTGATTGTACTCGCCGCGAAAGTCTCAAATCCTATATACAAATCTGTCGAACAAATGTTCAAATGTTACAATTTCAGTTAATTTATTCAATGATGTCAAGATCGAGATGACAGTTTCGTATTGAGACAGAAAAATTGATATCCATTAAAACTGTTCATACCAAAGAAGATTAATTCTCTCCGTAGTTCATGGACAACGACCCTGCAGCCTCTCGAAGCCACATGCAAAACATTTTATTGGCCGTTATTTATCCACGAAGGATAAACAGAGGACGAGTCAAAGTGCATCGCTTTGTAGTCGTTCCGTTTGATTTAGATTGCATCTTGACGACTAAATCTTCGCTGCATCCACACACATGATGGAGACATAAACCGCAGTATTGCACGTTTAATATACAGAGTGAAGTGCACTAAAATGTCAGATAACTCGGCATTTTTCCCCGTTGTTCCTGTTACGTGTGTTAAAGATGGAATATTTAGAGAAAGGACAGAAAAATAGTAAAGAATTACGCCCACGCGAACTGGGAGACTCCAAACCCCAAAATACATCTATAAATGCCATCTAACAGGAAGACGCCAAACTAAAGTGCCTGGGTAAAGACTGGGTTCGGAAGAAGTAACCCTTAAATGATCTAATTTAGTGATAAAATATTATGATGATATTAACATAACGTAAAAATAGTGATGAGCAACAGATTTCGTTTATATTTACATGAAACTATTGTAATAATACGAGACATTTATTTTCGGATTCTTACACACGAATCTTGATTTCGCGTTAATTTTATAGAAGC